TCTCTCTCTCTCCTCTGTCTTCTCTCCTCCCCACTTCCCCAACCCTAACAGTAGTCGTCGGGCAACTGCTGCTTTGCCGGCAATCATTCCGGTGATTGTTGTCCTCTCTCTCTCTTTCTCTTTCTCTTTCTCTTCTCTCTTTTTTCTTTTTCTTCTCTCCTCTGCAAACTCTAGACCCCTCCCCCCTTTCCTCTCTCCTTTCCCCAGTTTATTTCCTCTTCTTGCGGCCTCTTTGGGTCTGGTCAGCGGCTGCCTTAGCCGGTGCCTACTCTGGCATCGTGAAAGTGGGCAGCCAAGGCTGCCAGACAGTGGGTCACCAGGTATAGTGGTGACAGCACCCCCTCCCCCCGTTTTGGTATTCGTATTTCTTTTAAAATCTTCAGGTGGATAGTCGCAGCGTTCGGGCAAGCAGCACGGGTCACCTCCGTTTGGCATTAACAAGGGACGGCGGGAATTTGGAAGGGAGCACGGTACACTGATCCAGGTTCTGTTCTTCGGAGTTGGTACCTCCCGATATCTTGTTTCACTTCCCCTTGTGGTAGCTTATTGTTGTCTTATTAGTTGATACTAGTCTAGGCATTATTTTAGCGGGCCTGTAGTACAACCTGTTTCCTTTGCGTTTGGTCGTCGCTTGTTCTGGATGTGGTCTGTGATGGTAGNCAGGGGGAGGGGGTAAGGGGCAAGGGTGCCTATAGGTTGAGAATTGGGTCGTGGAACATAGGGACGTTAACGGGTAAATCTATCGAGTTGGCGAAGATTCTCCAGAAGAGAAAGGTCAATATAGCATGTGTTCAGGAGACTAAGTGGGTAGGATCGAAGGTGAGGAATGCAGATGCGTTTAAACTGTGGTACTCTGGACGCTCGAAGGGCAAGAACGGAGTAGGTATTTTGGTGGACAGGGATCTTAGGGAGTCGGTGGTTGAGGTTAGGCGGGTGAGTGATAGATTAATGGCTATTAATACGCTCCCCAAGCGGGCTTGGATGAAGAGGTTAAGAGGTATTTCTGGGAGGGTTTGGATTAAGTGGTGCGTGGTATTCCGCCCACGGAGAAGTTATTTATAGGAGGGGATTTCAATGAGTATATCGGGGCGTCTGCTAGTAGTTATGGCGAGGTTCATGGCGGCTTTGGCTTTGGGGTTAGGAACGGAGGTGGAACTTCTCTATTGGATTTCACTAAGGTTTTTGAGTTGGTGATTGCGAACTCTATGTTCCCGAAGAGGGAGGAGCATTTGGTAACTTTTCATAGTACGGTGGCTAAGACTTAGATTGATTATTTTCTCCTAAGGAGGTATGATAGAGGGTTGTGCAAGGATTGCAAGGTTATCCCGAGTGAGTCACTCGCGACCCAACATAGGCTCTTGGTGGTGGACGTCGGCATACCGATAAGGAGGAAGAGGAAGGTGGTTCAGGGTCGTCTGAGGATTAGGTGGGGTGCCTTGACGAAGGAGAAAGCTCATGAGCTGGGGAGAAGGTTGTTGGCTATGGGGGCTTGGAGAAGTAGTGGGGAAGCAAGAGGTATGTGGACGATGACAGCGAACAGTATTAGGGAGGCGGCAAGAGAGGTGCTAGGGGTCTCTAAGGGTTACTCGAGCGGGCACAGGGGTGACTGATGGTGGAACGCCGAGATCCAGGGTAAGGTGGAGGAAAAGAAAGCGGCGTATTGGCAGTTAGTGTAGAGTAAGGACGAGAAGGAGAGGCAGATGAACAGAGTAAGCTATAATGAAGCTAAGAAGGTGGCGAAGTTAGCGGTCACGGAAGCAAAAAATGCAACATTTGGTCACATGTACGAAGAACTGGGGGACAAAAGCGGAGACAAGAAGTTGTTCCGGCTGGCCAAAGCGAGAGAGAAGATGGCTCGTGATCTAGACCAAGTGAGGTGCATCAAGGATGAGGAAGGCCGAGTGTTAATGGAAGACGCACAGATTAAGCGGAGGTGGCAGACGTACTTCCATAAGCTGCTAAATGACGAAGGGGACAGAGACATTGTGCTAGGAGAATTGGAGCACTCCGAGTGTCACCGAGATTTCAGCTACTGTAGGCGCATTAGAGTCGAGGAGATTGTCGGGGCTATGCGTAAAATGAGCAGGGGCAGAACGACAGGGCCAGACGAAATTGCAGTAGAATTTTGGAGGTATGTGGGTAGAGCAGAATTAGAGTGGCTAACTGGGCTGTTTAATGTTATTTTCAAGATGAAGGAGATGCCAGAGGAATGGAGGTGGAGTGTGATGATTCCACTATAAAAGAACAAAGGCGATATCCAGAACTGTAACAACTATATGGGCATCAAGCTACTGAGTCATACCATGAAAGTGTGTGGGGTGGGTAGTGGAAGCAAGGGTGAAGAGGCTGGTGTCGATATCCGATAACCAGTTTGGGTTCATGCCTGATCGTTCCACTACAGAAGCGATCCATCTTATTCAGAGGTTGGTGGAACTGTACAGGGATAGGAGGAAGGACTTGCACATGGTGTTTATTGACCTAGAAAAAGCTTATAACAAGGTACCTAAGGAAGTTTTTTGGAGATACCTGGAGGTGAAAGGTGTTCCGGTGGCTTATATTAGGGTGATTAAGGATATGTATGATGGAGCTAAGACTCGGGTTAGGACAGTGGGGGCGACTTGGAGCATTTCCCGGTTGTTATGGGGCTTCACCAAGGATCTGCGCTCAGCCCGTTCTTATTTGCTCTGACGATGGACGCATTGACACACCATATTCAAGGGGAGGTGCCATGGTGTATGTTATTCGCTGATAATATAGTTCTGATTGATGAGACGCGAGGCGGTGTTAACGAGAGGTTGGAGGTTTGGAGACGAATCCTTGAGTCTAAAGGATTCAAGTTGAGCAGGACTAAGACTGAATACGTGGAGTTCAAGTTCAGCGGTGTGCCGGGTGAAGCGGACATGGACGTGAGGCTTGACTCTCAAGTCATCCCAAAGAAAGGGAGCTTCAAGTACCTGGGTCGATTATTCAGGGGGATGGGGATATTGACGAGAATGTTACGCACCGTATAGGAGTGGGGTGGATGAAATGGAGGCTAGCGTCTGGTGTCCTGTGTGACAGGAAGATGCCTCCAGAACTTAAAGAAAAGTTCTATAGAGCGGTGGTTAGGCTGGCCATGATGTATGGGACAGAGTGTTGGCCAGTCAAAAATTTTCATACCCAGAAGATGAAAGTTGCAGAGATGAGGATGTTGAGATGGATATGCGGACGCACTAAGCTAGATAAGATTAGGAATGAAGATATTCGGGTGAAGGTGGGCGTGGCTCCTATGGAAGACAAGATGCGGGAAGCTAAGCTTAGATGGTTCGGGCACGTGAGGAGGAGAAGCCTGGATGCACCAGTAAGGAGGTGTGAACGGCTGGCCTTGACGGGTATAAGAAGAGGTAGAGGGAGACCTAAGAAATATTGGGGAGAGGTGATCAGGCAGGACATGATGCAGACGCAGATTTCCGAGGACATGGCCCTTGACAGGAAGTTATGGAGGTCGAACATTAGGGTTGTAGGTTAGGAGATAGGAGACTAGTATGTTAGTGTTTTGTTTTAGGCTGCTAGTGGCTCCAGTTGTGTTCTTAATACTTCATTAGGGTCGTAAGTTAGGTTGTAGTATGTTTAGTGGCCCTTTGTGTACATATTATTCCCTTGCGTCTGTATTACTGTGCCTTTGTTACTGCTTAGCGTTACTATTTTGCTCTCTATTTTCTGGTTATTGTGTTGCTGGTGTTATCTTTCTAGATTCCGTTTCTGTTACTGATACACTGTCTCTTTCCTTCTTGTGCCGAGGGTCTACCGGAAACAGCCTCTCTACTCCTCCGGAGTAGGGGTAAGGCCTGCGTACACACTAATCTCCCCAGACCCCACTTGTGGGATCTCACTGGGTTGTTGTTGTTGTTGTATACCAAGCTTAACATTTTAAGTATTTATGGACAGCCAACCCCCTATTAACGGACATGTGTCAACAATGTCAGCATTACAATAAATCTACTCGTGTTATTTATGTGGTGATTAATAATAAAGATATAGTTATGCTTTGATTAACGATGATGAGTTATACATGAAATATTTATGCTAAGGCATTTAATCTTAGATAGTTTAATTCATGCATTACTAGTACACGTATTCTTATTAAATAATACATATATAAATTAACGCAATATTTTATACCACAAATCAAATAGTAATAAATTAGTTGTATAGCAATTATTATTTTCCTTGTGCGATCACCGAAACAAGAATGTGTTAGGGATTTATGCTGCTATTAATAATCTATATATACAAACCAAACGACTTCTAAAGATACATTTAAAATCGTATCCAAGCAAATATTATTACATAAACCGGTAAGGAGGGAATAGACAACAGTTATATGTAACAATAACAAACTCAATATATTTTTACTAGTGGGGTCTGGGGAGGGTTGTGAGTATGCAGACCTTACTCCTACAGTAACGTAAAGAGGTTGTTTTCAATAGATTATCGGCACGAAAAAAAATAAAAATAAAGCAGAGCAACAAGCAGTAACAAGAACAAAAAAAAAAAACGAAACGAAAGGACACATGTAATGATAAAAATATACAATATAAGAATACAAGACCGATGTTACAACATTTATACGTAATTGATGATATTTTTCATACGGCTAATACAAAGATATTTCTAAGTACTATATCTCTGCCAGTCACTCTCATGACATGTATGCCAGCCATTGGCCAAAATATGATAAGAAACGTGTGCTCATTAATCCATTACTCATCTCATCCTCCCCCAATATATTGTTACATCCCATCTCATAGCCTAAAAAGATCATTTCCCAATACACCAAAAAATCTTTTGCAACAATGGCCTCAATAGCTGGTGTTAGTATCACAAACCCAAGAATTTTCGCCAAAACATGTGATTCCTCTAAGGTTCAAGCCTTGAAATTTCCATGCCTGAACAAACCATGGAAAAATTCATCATCAGTCCAATTTGGACATGGAAAATTGTATCTTAAGACCATAGGTGCAACACCAGATAATAAGCTTTCTGATTTAGTAGCTGATAGTGTTAAAGAAGCTGAAGAAGCTTGTGCTGAGAACCCGGTTAGCGGAGAGTGCGCGGCGGCTTGGGATGTGGTAGAAGAGGCGAGCGCAGCAGCGAGCCATGCTAGGGACAAGAAGAAGGAGTCTTCTGACCCTTTGGAGAATTACTGCAAGGATAATCCTGAGACTGATGAGTGCCGTACTTATGACAATTGATTAAATTACTAAGTCATGTTATATTTGTTGTTATTCTCAAACATAATACCTATATGGTAATTTGATACTCTTGTTGTTATCCTCATGAATATTCTTGAATGTTAAAGAGTCCTGTTTAAGTAGAGCTCATACTACACTTTTCTTGAATTTGCTATCACTAACGATGTTATATATCATCTAACTACCAAGTTTATCGCCAATCTGTCATTAAATAGGATTAGCTACAAAATTAGCTATAGATTTGTTCATCGTCTCGGTCTACGTACATATTATCCTTCCCAAAATCCTACTGTGAGATTACATTATTGTATAGATTTTATCCGGTCGCCAATTCTTTTTTTAGTAGTAGTAAATAGTCTCCGATATATTTTCATGATTGTCCTCTTCTTGCAAATGAGTTAACTTTTCCAACTCTCAAACTAAACATCCCATAAATTGAATTTGTTGTAAAATTAACTCCTCATTAGTTTGATTCAAGTAACCAAAGGTTGCTCACAATTAGTTAATCAAAACTTGCAGACCAGATCCGCTTATGATTAACGTTAATCTTTAAAGATTTGTCACACAAAATCTAAATTTATGGCTAATCTTGGAGTTATTGTTATGGCCAAAATTTCATACTTGAGTTCGTGAGCTATGAAATAGTACATCAAATCAAATAAATTCCATGACCACCTGAATTCTTGATCATCTCTTGTTCTACGTTTGAACTAAAAGCAAACAAAGAATTCGTGTAGGGCCTGTTTGGATGGCCGTTACCCATGGTTTCATAATGTAAAATATCATATTGTATAGTATCGTATTATATTGTATTGTACTGAATTAATAAATATAATGTTTGGATTAAGGCTGGCAAGTGAGCCGGTCCAGGCCCGGAACCGCGGACCAAATGAGCTAAACGGGCCAAACGCGTTAGGACCGGTTTTAGTGGGTCTGGGCCGGTCTCGCAGGCCGGCCCTATGTTTTGGGCCCGTCAGGGACCGGACCGGTCCCTTAGCGAGCCAAATGGTCCCAACGATCAAATTTTAAAAAAAAATTAAAATATAGTCGTTGGGCTATCAAAAATAGTTGTTGGCTATTTATAAAATAGTCATTTAACCCC